TGGATTCTAATCCCAGTTTCCATTCCTGTTTCATGGCACCATGTGACCAGGTGGTAGTTAATGGGAGGTGAGCACAAGTGATGTAACCAATTTTAGGTTGTGCCTTTCCTTCCCCTCTTCACCTCTGGATGGAAGCTGATGAGTCTGGGAGCCCTGCAGGAGCATGAAGTCACCTCTCTAGCGATGGGGAGCAGTGATTTGAAAGAGCACAGGTATCTGGTGCCTTTAAGACACCAGTCAAGTTCTAGTAACTTCTCTTGCATTTCCTTCTAGAGCTACCAAAATCATAAATTGAAATCTTAAAAATATTTGTATACAACCACCTTGAAAAATAATGTATGTTCTATATTCAAGGCATCTATGATGACAGAGATGTTATTTCAAAGACGTGTCACACAGTAGGGGGTGCCAACACATCAAATAAATGAGATGTAATAACAAATTGATGTAATCACAGTGAGAGAGAAAAAGTCCTAGGAAAAAGAACTAAGAAGAAGCTATAAGAAAAATGTGTTCCCTTCATTTGATATCGAATTTCATTTCCAGCTTCTCTACCCTCTTCTGGGCTCCCTTTCCCTCTGGTTCCTGGTTGTTCTCAGGAAAGGGTGACACTTCTTATATAATAATTCTGAGAGTTTTAGACCAGAAAATGGATTCTAATCCCAGTTTCCATTCCCATTTGATGGCACCATGTGACCAGGTGGTGGCCAATGGGAGGTGAGCACAGTGATGTAACCAATTTTAAGTTGTGCCTTTCCTTCCCCTCTTCTCCTCTGGATGGAATGCTGATGAGTCTGGGAGCCCTGCATGAGAATGAAGTCACCTCTAGGGCTGGGGAGCAGTGATTTGAAAGAGCACAGGTGTCTGATGCCTTTAAGACACCAGTCAAGTTCTAGTAACCTCTCTTGCATTTCCTTCTACGGCTACCACAATCATATATTGAAATCTTAAAAATATTTGTATACAACAACTTTGAAAAATAACGTATGTTCCATATTCAAGGCATTTATGATGATAGAGATATTATTTCAAAGAAGTGACACCCAGTATGGGGCTGCCAACAGATCAAATAAATGAGATGTAATAACAAATTGATCTAATCACAGTGAGAGAAAAAAAGTCCTAAGAAAAAGAACTAAGAAGAGGCTATAAGAAAAATGTGTTCCCTTCATTTGATGTAGAATTTCATTTACAGATTCTCTACCCTCTTCTGGGCTCCCTTTCTCTCTGGCTCTTGGTCTATTATGATTTATCTTTAGGGATCGCTGTATCCTCTATTAATTTCCCTTAGTCCTGCTCACCCTTTTTACACAGTCTTTTTATTAAACTCTCTTCAATTGCCCTATTTATTTGTGCCTTGTGTTTTTGGCTGTGACAAGAAAGATAGATGCATGTAACAAAGAAATAAGCAAGCAATCTCATAGACAGCAAGGTAATGTGTGAAATCTGAGGTTATTAACAACAATTCAGGTTGGAAAACAATGTCTGTGAAGCAGAAAGGTCCTTTGTCTCTCACAGTCTAACCTACCAGCACCCAAAGCTTCCCTGAGGGAGCTTCATGTCTCTGGACTCTCCTTCATGGGTGCCCATAGCTCCTTGCACGCTCTACCCCAAGATGCAGTGGTGACCATGTGGACTAAGAGGGAGAAAACAAAGATAGTTCTGAGCCGACTCTTACCTGAGTGCCATCTTCTAGTTGAAGGTGGTGAGTAGAAGAGGAGGAGCTTTCCAGGGAATGCTGAGCACTAGAGAACGCTCTCCTACCCCTGAATAGGAGGTGTCTGCAGGAGCAGGAGTGGAACCTGATGACCAAGAGAGGCTTATCAAGATGCTGGGCAGCCCCTGTGACTTCCTGCCCAAGGAGCACTGGCCAATTAGATTTTAGAGATCTGAGACAAGGGTCTCACGAGATGCTTTTCACTTGCCCTAAGGTTAATGACTTATCTCTTCCTCTCCACATCTTACCCTATGTGGTCCCCTCTCCATGAGAAATGTCTGAACTAGATCCAGTCATTGTCCGTAGTGAACCTGTGCATAAAGCCACCCACAAAGCAAAATCTTCCATAGCTAAAGAAGAGTTTGCTCTGCATTCAGGTCCCTGCCTGGTCTGGCTCATCTGATCTGTTTCCACTTACTTCTAGAAGTAATATATGCATATTAGTTTATTTCAGAGGACACCATAGTATGTAAAATGAAATGTAAAGTCTTTCCTAATCTCATTCCTCAATAATAACCAATTTTTACAGTTACCATTATAACTCTTTCACAAGCTATTTTATAGCTTTTCATAATAAAACTACATTTGTACTTTTGATTTATTAACATCAACAAGTGTGTATATTGTGTTCTGTTTTAAAAGATAAGGAAATTAGTGGAAAAAATATGTGGAAGTAAGTGGAAACTACACTGACGTGCTCCCAGGATGAAACTGGAATTACAAGTAAAATACAAAAAAAACACCCTAAATAGTCAACTGAAGACTAGCTGGAGAGACCCTGTGCTCTTTCCATGATAAAGAAGGATGGAAAGGGGAGACTGCACAGAGACTGGTGGGAAGGGTGGAGGAAGGAAAGGGTTGGCCAGGCTCTCACAGGCAGCAGCTGAAGTTCTGGAAAGATACCTCAGCTGTGGGGGGTTGCCACTGAGAACTCCTCCCCATGCTGAGCCCCCCGAGCAGAGAGGACCAGAACTGAGAAAGGTGCTCACATAACATCTGGCTGTGTAAAGCAGCAGGGTTGCTGTCTTCTGGGAGAGATGACTGGAAATGCAGGCATCCCCTTAAAGAGTCAATGCATAAAATCTTGTGTGCAGCCATTCATCTTGTGCTCTGGCAGAGGAAGGGCAGAGTGGGCTGAAGCTGTGTGAACAGAATCCAGGGTTTGGGCTTTGGGGTTAGAGTTTGGAAGGCAGACACCCTGATTTTCTATGCTGAATCATCCCCTAACACTGCAGAGGTCATCTCTCTCAGGCAGACCTTTGATATTCAGGTAGTTATTGCCTGGTGGGGAACACAGTTGATCCACCCTTCTGGAAAACCCCTCACCCATGGTGTGGAGTTTCTGAGGCCCATTACAAGGCCCATTACAAAAGCAATTGCCCCGCCCTGTTGGAAAACTACTCACCACACCTATGGACAATTGCTTGAGGGCTACTCAAGACTTAATCTAATCAGTGTGCAGGCAGAGGCAGGTCTCTGGAGGCTTTGAGTCTTTTCCTGATCTAATTAGTCAGAAACAGCATTTGGCACTGTCCTGCACTAGAAATTGGAGGCATAGCAGATCTACCTAGTACATACTTACAAATCTGAACAGGCAGCCAAAATGGGGAGACAAAAAACCAACTCGCAAATGAAAGTACAAGAGGATTCTCCAGAAGAAGAGATAAATAAAATGGAGATAAGAAATTTATCTGACATAGAATTCAGAATGATGGTAAAGATGCTCAACAGCATGAGAAAACATGTAGCAACTATGAAAAAAGAACAGTCAGAAATAAAGAATGACATACACAAATAAAGAACACATTGGAAGGAATACACAGCAGATTAGGGGCAGCTGAGGATCCAAAACATATAAGGAAGTCATACAACTTAGCAAAAGGAAGACAAACAATCCAATGAAAAAATGGGGAAAGGACCTAAATAGACACTTATCCAAAGTGGACATACAGATGGCCAAGAGACATATGAAAAAATGCTCAGTCACTGATCAGCAGAGAGATGCAAATTAAAATGACAATGCTGTATTGCCTCATATCTGTCAGAATGGCTACCATCAACAAAGCAAAAAATGACAAGTGCTGGCAAGGATGTAGAGAAAAGGAAACCCTTGTACACTGCTGGTGAGAATGCAGACTGGAACAGCCATTAAGGAAAACAGTATGGAGTTTCCTCAAAAAATTAAATATGGAATTGCCATTTGACCCAGTGATTCTACTTTTAGGAATATATCCTAACAAACCCAAAACACCAATCAGAAAGGATGTATGCACTCCTATGTTCATAGCAGCACAATTTATAATAGCTAAGATGTGGAAAAGCTGGAGTGTCCATCAGTAGATGAGTGGATAAAAATCTGTGGTACATTTATACCATGGTGTACTATGCAGCAGTAAAAGAGAAGAATCTCCTACCCTTTGAGACAGCATGGAGGGTCCTGTAGAGTGTCATCTATGTGAAATAAGTCAGTCAGAGAAAGACATGTATCACATGATTGCACTCAAAATGTTGAATCTAAGTAACAAAGTAAACTGATGATGGAGTGGGTCCAGAGACATGGAAGCATGGAACAGAGTATAGAATCTCCGAGGGAAGGCAGGGGAAGGTGTGTTGGTAGGAGGTAATCAACCAAAGACCTTATATGCATAAGCCATGAACAGACAATAGGGTGGTGAAGGCCTGAGGAGGTGGGGAGGCAGGGGGACTGGACAGGGTCAATGGGGGAAAAAGGGAACATATGTAAAACTTTCAACAATAAAAATTTTAAAAAAATGTATCCATATGGTGCATCAATTTCAATAAATGTGCCATATTAATGGAAGATTAATAAGAGAAACTGTCTGGGGAATTAGCAATGGAGGGGGGAGTTATAGTAATCTTCTGTACTTTCTGTACTATTTTTCTTAAAAAGTGCTCTAAAATATAAAATTTATTAAAATGAATAAGCAAAAAAAATGAATAAGCAAACTAGCAACTGAATAAATATTTACAATACACATAACTAATCAAAACCCCATTCTGCAAGTATCAAAGCTCCTACAAATAAATAATGGAAAAGGGAAACACTTAATAAAAATTGGCAAAACTGAAAAAGACACTTCAAGAAATACAAGTAGCCAATAAGCTCATGAAAGGATGCTCATGCTTGCAAAGGTTGAAAAATGGTGAAAACAATGTCCTTAAAGAGGGGACTGAGCCGAAACCGGTTTGGCTCAGTGGATAGAGCGTCGGCCTGCGGACTGAAAGGTCCCGGGTTACTGAAATCAGGCAATGGGGATTTAGCAGAGACTTGACTTGAAAATCACCATATGTTCATTCATTAATTCACTTATTCAATCAGCATTTATTATACTAAAGAGGTAGTCTAAGGTCTGCCAAAATCATCAAAGACTGCTCACTGGGGCTCGATTAAACTCATTCGTTTAATTTATAGAGATATTATAGGAGAATGACCACAAAAAATTGTGAAAAATGTAATGTTCATGTAGTTTCTATCTAGTTCAGTGATGAAAGAAATTTAGACTTTTCCTGCACTTCTTTCATCTTTTGCTGTAGTTGGGATTCTTTAAATGAGAGAGCAGTCGTGGACCCCAGAGATGGCAAAGCTCCCGTGGAAATGGGGTGAAGGCCTTGGGTGAGGCAGTTCTGGGACATTGCACTCTGTGTTTGTTTAACAGGCACTGGCTCACGTCAACCTCAGGAGATGGATTATTATATGGACTAGTAGCCCTGTGCACGAATCCATGAACTAGTAGGTCATTGCCGCCCTCCTGTAGCTCTCTGCCCACTGCTGCCCTCTTGTAACTCCCCTTGTCCCCCCATAGCTTGTTGTCCTGCCCTCTCCTGTAGCTCTCTGCCTCCTGTTTGCTTGCTGCCCTGCCTAGTTCTGTAGCTCTCTGCCACCTGCTTGTAGCCAGTAGGTTGCTACTGTCCTCCTGTAGCTCTCCGTCCGCTGCCCTGCCCTCCTATTCCTCCCGCGGCCCCCTCTAGCCTCTCCCCCATCTCCCCCACCCCCCCAGCTTACTGCCCTGCCCCCTCTTGTAGCTTTCCGCATCCCTCTTGTACCTTGCTGGCCCAACCTCCTGGTGATCCATGATCTGGTGATGCGCTTGGTCATTACACTTCAGGGCTTAACTTCTAATTAGCATATCCCTCTCTTATTATATAGGGTTGTTTTAATTCAGGGGCCCAGAGGGCAAACACAGTAAGAAAACCAACCAAAAGAGAGGGACAAAGCTGGCTTTCAAACTCACATCTGTCTGAACAAAGGAAGACTCTGAATCAAAACACTAGACTTTCCAACATGTCCAGGGTTTCCCCAGGACGGCTTTCTCCAGGTTCATCCACCTCAGGAGTGTCCTGCAGAGCCCTCTGGAGAACCACCCTCAGGGTGTGTTGCCCCTTCCACCATTGCTGCCTGAAGGAGCCAACGAAGAAAGTAAATGATGGGTTTGACACAGCTGTTCACATGAGACAGGAGAACTTCCTCCAAGAAATGAGGAACGAAAGCATCGAAATCTTTTTGATAACAGTGTAAGAGGAACCAGTTGATGCTGAAGAGCAGGCCACAGAAGAGGAAGACCAGTATCATGAGCACGAAGGTCACGTAGAGCCTGGTCAGCTGCACCCGCTGAGAGCCACACAGCAGTCCGATCATCAGGGCCAGGCTGGACCCAGAAAGAAGCACAAATAACAAAATCAGCCATGCCACATTAATGAAATCCATCACTGGACAGCAAACACGATGTATATCCCTACTCAGGGGGCCAGAGTAGTTCCTTTACAGGATGCTCAGCAACAGGGACAGGGCCCAGAGCAGAGCACATGTGAGGGCTGTCAGGTGTCTGAGGAGGTGGCTGTGGTACCAGATGGGCCACTGGATAGACAGGCAATTCTCTGCGTTAATGACATTGAGAAAGCTCAGGCTTGGAGAGGAGGCAAAGACAGCCA